ATATTTATATCTTATATGTGTTAAACATTTTTGTTACTAATCGAGATACGATAATTTAATATATAGCTAACTTTGAGTAAATATATATTTATTTAATTATTTTATTTGTTTAAAATAATACGTCGTTTCGTTGAAATTGCATATTTTTGTAGGGCATAAATTTAATTATATTATATACCGAACTGCTGGTAATAAGACAATGTAAAGCAAATTTTGAACCAAATCAGTTTTGTATCGGAAGCTCAGATATTTTAATCTAATTGAACCGAACCACTGTGGTTCTGAACCGCACTCTTGTTGAGAAGACTAGGTAAATCAGGTGTTGAATTGAAACTATATTTAGATCAGTGTATCAAACTACTTCACATCTCTACTATATTCACATATATTTATCCAGACAAAATTCTATTATATTATATTCATAATACAGAATGAAGATTTGTGTAAGATTACGATTAAATGATTTTTGTTGTTTTTTTTTCTTGACTGAACTTTTTATTACTGTTTGTTTTTCTTGTCGAGAAAAATTTAATGCCAATCAATCATTTAAGAATTCAATTTTAAAATTTTTTAAGCTAATAAATGTAAGTATCACATTTTGGCGTTTTAAAGGAAACATTCACAAAAATGTTTTCCGCATAAATTCTAGCAATACAGTCTATATGATACTACCACCTGCTATGAAACTGTGCTTTGGAATAAGTAGGAAATTTAATATTTTGTGCTTACTGCAGTCTTAGGGTAGAGCAGTTTTTAATATGATGGACGATTTATAATTTAAAATGAAATTGGCGCTACTTCCTTTTAATTTAATAATACACATATACTCTATAAGCTGCCATTCTCAGGATTAAGTTGTTGCTTTCAAAATGAAACTAATCTGATTTTGTGGTTCAGCAAAGGGTTTCATTTTGTTTATTAGCCATTTCTGAAAAAAGTGTTTAACAGCAAAATGCAGAAAAAAGGACAATTAAAGTGCGTGATGTGACAGAAAAAATGATGAATGAGTTACGGGGTTTGCGGTTGAATATAGTTCAGCTCCCTTCTTCTATATGCCACCTGCCTTCAATGCTGCATTGAAATGGGCGTTCCGCAGTAGAACGTAAAACTTTATTCTTTTATTAAAAATTGTACATAATCCTAGCTACAACATCCTTATTTCTTATACGTTGTTTTTCATAATAAGCTAGTTACCTGTCATCACCTTTTTTAAATTTTCTTTCTCCTTCATTAGGTTTTATTTGCAAAAAATCTTTTTTAATGAAAACAAATTATTACCGCCGCAGTTGTGGCTTTTCAGAGTTCATTTTTTATGTTTTTTATGTTTATGGGAATTTTATTAAATATTTAATAAGTGAATGTGATGATTTAATTTTCAAATATTATAATATCT